GCCCAGGCCCCAAGTTCAGGCCCCACGACCGGACCCAAAAAAAATAAATGTGTGTGCTGGTTCTGGGGCTTGAACTTGGGGCCTGGGCGCTTGAACCATTCCTCTACTCCCAGCTTTCGGGTACTTGACTGGAGAAAGGAGTCTTTCTCCCCAGCTCCCCCCACCCCACCCCTACCCTCAGGGCTGGATCTCAGCCTCCTGAGCAGGTGTCTGTCGGGCATTATTAACGGCTGTGGAGACTCCTGTGGAAAAGAAGGTGCCCTGCCCTTCCTGCTCCGGCCTGCTCCCACCTGCGCCCAGCCCCCGGGTGTGGCTTCTCAGCCCTGGAATCTGACCCAGGAAATCCCCCAGGTGCTGGGTGTCTGCTCCTGACCCCCGGCTCCGCGTCTCCACCCAGAGCCTGGGCTGCCTGGAAGGAGTCCCTGTGGTGCCCAGGCCGTGCGCTGCTGGACGGGGCTGGCTTCTCAGGCCCTTCTGCGAGGAGGAACTGGGCCGCTGCAGGGGGCGCGCGTTCTGGGACAAGGCTGGCCTGGACTCCTGCTTTTATCTCCTGTCCCGTGCACGTGTACACACTGGGGCTGAGGGGATGCCCCCCTCCCCAGCCCACACTGCGTCCAAGAAAAGCCTGTTCCTCCCCCGCTGGCCAGCCCCGCCCCCCTGTGTCCTGGCCACCTGCCTGGGTGGTGGGGGGGAGGAGGAGGGAGGAAGCAGCTTGGCTCGCAGGGGATTGGACGGTCCACCCCAGCCCTGCAGGCGACTGGCTGGCCCGGCCCAGCCCAGCCTCCCACAGCCTCCCCTAGGTCAGGAGTCCAGAAGAAATTATCTCCTTGAGGACCAGAGACCAGGCAGAAGAGGAACCAGCAGCTCCTCCTGAAGAGAAGGATCCAGGACAGGGACAGTAAGCACGGAGGCCTGACTTTAGGGGAGGGCTTTGCTCCAGGCTGGGCTAGCTCCACAAAGATGGCCGCCCGGGACTGGGCAGCTGGTTGGACAGCCAATGGTTTCTCCCTGACGTCTATGCCCATCTCTCTAGTGCCCAAAGGGTCCACTCTGACCTTGGTCCACCTGGTCCTTTCCTTCTTCCTCTTCTCTCCTCCCATGTATTGATGTTTTTCCTAAGATTTGAACCCAGGGCCTGGGCGCTGTCCCCGAGCTTTTTCGCTCAAGGCTGGTGTTCTACCACTTGAGCCACAGCTCCACCGTCTGCTGTTTTGATGATTCAGTGGAGATCAGAGTGTCATGGACTTTCCTCCCCACACTGGCTTTCAGCCAAGATCCTCAGATCTTAACCTCCTGAGTCGCTGGGATGACAGGCGGGAGCCACCAGCGCCCTTCTCCCCTTATCGATTCCTTTCCTCCTCCCCCTCCAGCCCCTCCTCCTCCTCCTCTCCCTGCCTCTTCCCAGGAGTGCCCTGTGTCTCCTTCTCCGTTCTTGCTCTGGCTCCAGCGCCCCATGCCCGCCCTGTCCTGTGTCTTGCAGGATGCGGTGGCCCAGCCTGTCGTGGCTGGGCCTGGGGCCTGTGGTCCCCTCCCCGTGGCTGCTGCTGCTGCTGGCCACGGCGTCCTGGCTCGGGGCTCGGGTCCTCGTGTGGATCTACACCTTCTGCAAAACCGCGTGGCGCCTCCGGTGCTTTCCGCAGCCGCCGAGGCGGAACTGGTTCCTGGGGCACGTGGGCCTGGTGAGTGGGAGCGGGCGGGCTCGCGCCCTGGCAGAGGGGCTCCAGGAGTCGGGCGCGGGGGCCCAGCTCCCGTCTCGGCTGTGCTGAGTCTCACTCCCCAGCTGCCCCTCCAGCTCCTCCCTCTTCCTTGCATTTTTTCCCACGCTGTCTGTCCTTCCTGGGCCACCCAGGAAAGGCTCAGGAGGAATCCTGAGTGAGGATCCTAAGTGCTCCAGGGCTGGATCGAAGGTTTCCCCCCCCCCCCAGGGACTCTACACCACCCTATACCCAGGGTTTCGGTTTTTCAAAAGAATGACCTTGGCAGGGCGCCAGTGACTCCCGCCCGTCATCCTAGCTACTCAGGAGGCTGAGATTTGAGGATCACGGTTCAAAGCCAGCCTGGGCAGGAAACTCTGTGAGATCTTATCTCCAATAAACCACCAAAATACTGGAAGTGGCGCTGTGGCTCAAGTGGTAGAGCGCTCGCCTTGAGCTGAAGAGCTGAGGGACAGCGCCCAGGCCCAGAGTTCAAGCCCCACAACTGA